CTCACGGGGATACGACGACGCCATTCTGCGTCAAGATCACGGTCGTTCTACTACGCGAGTGACGCCCTGGCGATGACGGTGGTCGAATATTTACAGCCGGTGTGGGACACCCAGACCTCCGAGGTTTTTGTTCACAAAGTTGAGTGCCGATTTCCAGTACCGAGTTTTCGCCTCCGATTGTTTTGATGGTCTTGGGGCCCGAGAGTGGCCCCTTGGCGCCGAAATCGTGGAATAGCTATAGTTGTGCTTTTATCGGCGGGCTGGGAAGCCTGGGCCGTCCCACCCCGTTTCGCTCAACATCGGTCACCAGACCCCTCGCTGATATGATTCTCAGCAGGCCAGTTTCTCGAGCCGTGTCCAGCCAACGTCGAAATCATCGCTCCTCCCCTGCCCTGGAGGTCTCTGGAAGTCTTGGTGCCTCTGGAGATCCCCGACCTCTGCGGGCCCCGAAGAAGCCCAGACGGTCCAAAGCCACTTGATCCTCGATGTTCGGTCATTCTCCCCAGCGTCGGCCTCGTTCCTCGCCCTCGTCGAACGGGCGAACCACGGGGCAGCGAGTCACTGGCGATGAGGCCCCCTTTGCGCCATCCGCTCCCTGTCCGTAAACAGTCGCCCCGACAGTCGCTTTCTCGTCCTCGTCCTCCGTCCTCGCTCTCCCGCCTCGCCTCCCCGTCCTCCGTCCTCTCTCTCCGCTTCGTCTTCCGTCCTCGCCCGCCGGGGGCCGCACAGCTTGCTCGAGCTCGTAGCCTTCCTTGCCAAGGCACAGGCGGGCCCCGCCAGGCACAGGCGGGGCTCCCTGCGGAGCTCGCGCCGCTCGGGCGTTCAGTCGTGGGTCGTCCGCCCCCGTCCGCCCTAGAGGACCTTGCTCCCTCCCCCCCCCCTCGCCGCCCCATTCCGAGGCTGGGACTTGTGCATGCCCACCGCCTAGCCGCTTGGGGCACCGACCGATTTCCCGGGACCTCGGGGGGCCGCGGCTGTGGACGCGTGCTGCCCACCCCTCCTCGCCCCCGCCCCCACCCGCCACGCCGCCCTGCTCCTCCCCCCCACCACCCCACAGCCCCCCCCCCTTGGGGGCGAAGCACACCTCCGCATCCGCGGCCTGGCGGGCCCAGCCCCCGGGCCGCGACCCTGCGGACACCGGGCGATTTTGCTCGCGGATGCCCCGCGCGGAACGAATCCGTGCCACAGCGTATCCGCGGGATCGTGCTCCAGAAGCCATCCCGCGAGGGCGTGAACACGAATCTGTTGGCCGCTTGTGGCCCCCGTTCTCCCGCCGCCGCCGCGCCCGTGCGCCCGGGGCGCAGGTGGACGTTCTGTGGCTCTTCGCCAGCTTCGGCCGGCGCAGCGATGCCGTGCGGGGCCCCGCCCTCGGCCTTTGCAGCCGCCCGGCGGCAGCGGGGGCGGGGAGGATCTGTGGGGGGTGGGGGTGAGGGCGGCAGGAAGTGCCCGTTTTCCCCTTCTTCAGCCTCCTGGGAGGCCCTCGTCGCCACCGCTGGATCGGCCTGGTGGAGATTCTGATCAGAACGCGCCCCAGGAGATGTCCAGGAAGTAGCGGTATCGGTACCTTTGGATCTTCCCAGAAAGGGCGGGCGGAAGGGTGGGAGGACGGGGGGATGTGGGGGGTTTAGTTGTGGTAGGGGGGTTATGGGAGGCATGACGGGCCGATCGAAACCCGTTGGTACCAGTTCCAACCGTCCGTGCCGATTCCCAACTGGCCCAGAGCCGATTAGTACCACACTTGGCTGTCTTAAGCCACGCACTAGGATTATGGTTGTGGAGCTTCTTGAGACGATGCAGAAACCAAGTGCAGCTTTTAAGCGTAAACAGACGTTCCGACAGACAATACGAGTGCCACAGTTGGAGTTGGTACCAGTTTACATTATTCCGCCTGGGAGTTGTGTAGTTTTGAGAATGGGCAACGCTCACCAGTCTTGCTGAGGCTTTTTGCTCAGTGTAAGAGTTTGTTGTAGATTTCGCAGGACAGTTGCATAACGCTTCGCATTACTGCGGGTTCCATGTGAACATGGTACAACTTTCATGCGAGAGCTGAGAGGGTTTCATAAGCGAGCGCTGCCGTACTCTTAAGTGAAGTGTGGGCGTTCCCCCGAGAATCGTAGAAATCCAAATTGGAACTGGATCAAATCCATGAGAGAACTGTACTTACCAGACACGGCGGCGGCAGCGGAGGGCAAGGCGACTCGTTCGGCCCCCGCCCTCCCCATGGGTTCAGGGACTCTCCGAGCCCCAGAGGGTATGTAACGCCTCCATTCATTGGAAGCGTTACCCCCTAGTGCTGGGGGACTCATGCGCGCGAGAAAGGAGGCGAGTCAGAACGACTCGGCGGCGGCAGCACGGACAAAACACAATCTTTCGACCCCTCTCCCACCCCCATGGGTTCGGGGACTCCCGAGGCCCCGAGGGTATCCCTGAGCCCCCGATATTAGCCCCCCGGGGATAATAAAGTGGGGGTTCGGGGGATACGAATTATGTTGTCCCGGCA